CACACACACACACACACACACACACACACACACACACACACACACTCCCAAGTGGCCCCTTGGATCTCCAAACAGTTCTGGCTTCCCCGCAGGAGACAGAATCCACATCTGACTGAGACCCACGTCTGTGCCTGTCCCCGTGCCCGAGGCTGGCATCACCCTGAAGGCCAAGTCGGACTGAGTAGAACATGGCAGAGGGAATGTTGGGGGCAGGGTGGGGGGGGCGGGTTCTCCCCACAGCCTCCTCCAATGGAAATGGCTGGGCTGCACTAGCTCGTGTAAGGTCCTGTGCTGCGGGGCCACAGGGGGGTGGTTGACGGAGTAGTCCAGGGTCTCCAAGGCCCCAGGTCCCTCAAACAAGGGGCAGACTCTTCCTGCCCCCCAGGCCCGGCTCTCAGTGGAGGGCAAGCACATGGGCAGGGATGGGGGAGGGGGGGTGATGTGTGGTCTCAAGGACGCATGGGGACCCACAGGCACACACGAGAGTGTAAGCCTAGCACACACCCAGACACAAAAGAACGCGGCACCCCAGATTTGGGGCTTGCAACTGTTTTTGGTGAGTTGAGCCCCAGCCCCTAGAACAGGCGTGTAGGGCCACAGTCATACAGTGGGGCGGGCCTCCCCTCCGTGAGGGACTTCCGGTCCATGCAACCATCCGTCCATCTATCTGTCTGTCAGTGGAGGTGTGCATGCTGCTGTAAAGCGGATTGGGGTGGGGGCGGGGGGGCACGCCTCCCAGACTAAGAGACAAGGAAGAAAGGCCTGGCCACTGGAGACTAAAAATCTCGACCAATGAAAACCCATGGGCAACAGCAGCCCAACCCGTGACTGATCATGGGGCAGGTGTGGCAGGGGGCATCTCCTTCCATCATGCTCGGAGTGAGTCACGTGGGAAAGGGGCCAGGCTGATGGCGACTGACATCAGAGTGGCAGGGTGCAGACACGGTGCACGCACGTGGGTGCAAGCAGGCAGACCAGCGACAAACCAACTGCCAGGGGGCTGCGCGGGGCTCCTGCGTGTGTCAGAGTAGGGCTGAACGCCTCGGGTCGCCAATGGCTGACGCTTCACACACCGACAGCCAGGCCTTTCTTGCTGGGCACTTCTGGGTGGACACGAACCTCCAGTCGAAGGCACTGACCACTGGCACACACCCCCCACCAGGGGATAGAGAGTCACCTCAGCAGGGCGCTCTGGCGCATGGTCCCACAGGCACACTCCCACATCATACCCACCAGACGCTGCCCCCAAAGGGTGCCCCTCCCACCCCCACTGCTCACCGTTCACAAGGCCACCAGGCTCCACCAGGCTCTCATACTGCAAGCTGGACCGGGGCCGGGGCGTGGGCGGGGTCAGGGCTGTGCTCTCAGCCGCCTTCCTGGGGGCAGGCGTGGGGCGGCCAGCTGGAGGGCTGGCCAGCTCCTGGGGCTTGCTGGCAATGCAGGGCTTGGTGGGTATCTGGGGCTGGGCCTCAGTGCCACGGGCCTTGGGCTCATCAGCCTCAGTCGCTGACACCAAGGGAGGGCTGGGGTGGCCACCCTCCACACCGCTGGCTTCCTCTCCGAGCTGAGGCTGGAGCTGCTTTGGTGGCTCGAGGGGCCCAGGCTTGGCCCCCGACCGTGCCCCTGGGCCCAGCCTGGCACAGTGCTCCGTGCACACGAAGGTGCCTTCCTCGGGCCCGCTCTTGTAGGCCCCGGGGACCAGGGTGCTGGAACACTGCCGACACCTGTAGGGGAGACCAGACGCCCATGGGGGCTCAGCTTGGCCAGCCAATGACCACCCTACCACCACCAACCAAGTGACTCCTCCCCCTCCCGGCCTAACAGCCCGGGCTTCCCAGGGGAATGAATGACTGCTGACCACTACACTCGCACTGCAATGAGAGGACAGGACCCTGGCGTCAAGCCCTGCGGGTGCAGTGGTTACAATCGGGCTGCTCACCGCGAGGTCGGCAGTTCAAAACCACCAACTGCTCTGCAGGAGAAAGACGGGGCTTTCTACTCCCAGGGAGTTGACCGCCTCAGACACTCCCGGGCAGTTCTACCCTGTCCTACAGTATCGCGCTGCGCCGGCATCGGCTCGATGGCACAGAGCCTTTCTTGTTTTGTTTTGAACACTCGTACAACAATGAAACCGCAGGAAGCCGGCAGCAGGGACTGGGAAATATCTTCAGTTTCAATGACAAGGGGACCCTGCTGAGGGCCGCCCTGGGGAGCCCCCTCCGGGGCCATCACCTGCCACCCACGGTGACCCAGGAAGTCGGTTTCATTCCACCAACGGGTCATGTTGATTTTGTCTCGGCATGGGCGCCACCCAGGGGAGCCCACTGCGATCACGTCGGGTCCCACGGCTAACGACCGTATAGGACAGAGTAGAAGCAGTCCCTCGGGGTCCAGGGCTGTGCCTCGTCAATAAAGCGGGGCCAAGCAAGAGAGCCTAGCAGGAAGGAGTCTGTTAGGTGCTGGGCACACCATGGATGCTGAATTCCGGTGCCTGCCCAAGACAAGCCCCGGTCCATAGCCCCTCACCGGAAGCAGTGCCGGTGGTAGAGCTTGCCCTCGGCCAGGTACCGCTGCACCAGGTGGACGTGCTGCTGGCAGGCAGCACACGTGCTGCTGGGGGGGCGATGGGCGCCCTGCTCCGCCAGGCTGCCCGAGGAGTGCTCGCCATCCTACAGGAAAGGAGGGGACAAGGTCACCAGGCACCAGCTCAGAAACCCTGCTCCTTCTCCCTCCTGAGTGACACTGCCCAGGGGGGGCAGACCATCCCTTCTCCAGACTGGACTGGCCGCAAGTCCATGCTATTTATAAAGTGGTCCCCACCGGAACAAGCCAGTCCTGGCCCACTGCTCCCGGGAGAGACGCAGGGCCAGCTTCCTGCGAGCCTCTGGTCAGGACGCTTTTGTTAACCTGGTCGACACCTAACGTTGTTTGACGTGTGTTTCTGCTGAGCCCCCAAGCCCCATGTCCTGTTCATTCTGACCTAGAGCAGCCCTCTAGGGCAGAGTCCGAGTACCCCACAGGGTCTCTGTGGTAGTTAGGGTTATTGTGCCAATCCGGCCAACAGGAACATGTGGGGTTGATCAGGTCGCCGTTTGATTGGAGGGCAAAGAGATAAACGGCTCTGCAAAGCCCGCCCCCCTCTCTCTTGCTCTCTGGTGATTGGACTAGTGTGCTGCTGCTCTAGCTAGTTCTCTGCCTCAACCTGTGAGCTACACTACCTGTGGGCCAGGCCAACCCGTGGACTGTGTCGCTATGCCAGAGCTTGAGGCTCCGTCGCGACCTGCTTGGCCACGCTGCTGGTGCGTACATCGCTTGAGCTTGAGGCTGGTGGATCCTGTCGCCTTGCATTGCTTGTGTTCAATATCCCATCCAGACCTGCTTCGCTAAGCTCCCAAGCTACTCACTGTTGGTGACCCACCCTGCTGCTTGCTGCCTGTGGACACTCTGCCTGCCTTGCCTTAGGGAGGACTCCGCTGTCTGCTTCCTTGACCTTGGACCCAGCAGCCCATGAGAGTTGAAGGACTTCCAGCGTATTAACTGCTCCACAGACGTGAGTTGAACTGAACCCTCTGTACTGCTGTGTGGACGAATTAGCTGTTATGGTCCTTCTCGCTGTGTAAACCTATCCAAACCTATATATATAATCATAAGTGCCCTGGTTTTGATTCACGAGAACCCTGCTAACACAGTCCCGCAGACAGGTCTTTATGGGAACTGGTCATCGCAGTGTAGCTGCTGGCTTCGAACCACGGCCTTTTTGGCTCATCTCTCTCCTCCCTCACAGCTGCCTCCCTTGGGACACGAGGCCCCACGGCGGCTCTGAACGTGGCTTCCGGGCAACACTCCCCAGAGAAAGAATGGAACTGTGAGGAGACAGAATGGCCCTGGGATGAGAAGGCCGAGCAAGAGCGGCACTGTGCTCTCGCTGGACCCGCTCCTGCCCTCTGTGCCTGGCCGTGAGTGACCGCAAGTGCCCACAATGCTGAGTTCTGGGCTGCCGAGACGCCTCAGAGCCCTGGAGGGCAATGGCTGAGTGCTCAGCTGGTAGTGGAAAGGTCAGCGGTTCAGACCCACTAGAGGCTCCTGGGGGGTAAGGACCTGGCAACCTGCTCCCACAAAGGATTCAGCTGGCACACCAGTGGGGGCCGTGCCAGCCTGCCCAGGAGTCCAGGAGGGTTCCTGGAGTGGAAACAACTGCCCCTCACAGGATGCCGTCACCAGAGATGCTCTAGCAGCAGGTGGACCCATGCATTTCACCAGTGCGGGGGCGGGAGGCTGGCATCATCTCACTGAGAGGGAAATTGGGGCCGAGACAGGGAGGGGCTGGCTCAAGGTCACTCACTGAGCCGGGGCATTAACCCTTCATACCGACTTCTGGTTCCTGAGACTTCCCTGGGCTGCTCCTGCCCCTGCCCCAGGCCTTAGGGTTCAGGTGTGGACGGAGGGCCAGGGTCACCACCAGATGAGCCTCTGTTCCTCCTGTGCAGACCAGGGCTCTGGATGAGAACCCCCCTCCCCACCCAAAGCTGTTGACAGCTCTTCCAGGGACTGACAAGCCCACTGTGGCAGAGAGAGCTTGTGACTGTGCCCACCCCACCACCCCCTTCAGGGGTTGCTGGACCCTACCTCATCCTGGAGAAAGAAATGGGCTGCCTGACCTCTGACCCCCTCCCCGGGGTTCCCGAGTGCTCAAACCCCACGACAAGTCAAGGACAGGACAGAGCCTCTGGACATGTCAGGACTTCCCTCCCCACGAGACAGTCGCTGCCCCAGCAGCTGTCTACTAACCCCACCTCCACCCCCGCTCCGCTCCAGGTCTCTACCTGAGTGGAGTCTCCCGGTTCCACTGGGATGGCCGCTTCCGGAGGCGAGGGTGGCGGTGCCAAGTCCTTTCTGGGTGGTGACACTCCCGCTGCAAAGAGACGGGAAGGCGTCCTGAGGTCTCAGGTCGGGCGTGAGCAGTCAGCCCGGGGCTGGGACAGGAAGGCCGGGCGGCAGCACAGGTGGGAGAGCTCTGGCCTGGGCAGAGCAGGTGGTGACATCCCACTCGGAGGTGGGGGATTTGGAGAGAAGGAAGCATGCAGTGCCCACCGGGGGGTTCTGGAAAATGAGCTGCTTCCCTGGGGAGGTAAGGGGGGCCAGGAAACCCCAGAACCCGGATGCAGTCCCTAAGACCCTCCCCAGGAACAATGGTGCTGAGAATAGTGCCCCACCGCCGTCCCCTGCACCACCCGGTCCCTCTAGGGGGCCGGTCCTTTACAGAGCCACATTCAGACCCCTTCCCCTGGTCACAAACAGTGCCAAACTACAGGGCCCAGCCTGGACAATCAGCTCAGCAGGCACATACTAACAACAGAAGAGAGAGTGCCTGCCTGCCTGGCACCGGCGGCTTCCCGAGACGTGTGTCCGGTAAATGCGTGTGCGCGACCGCAGGTCCTGATGGGAATGTCTTTCGTCCTGGGCGCCACACGGGCAGAAACACTGCAACTCCAGCAGACATCAAGGCCAGGTGCCATCTCCCCGCTCCAGCTCCATCCTCGCCTTGTGTTGGTCCGCATGCCTTCCCAACTCCCGGCTGGCCTGGAACTCCCTTCCTCCCCAGACCTCCAACTGGCTTCTTCCTTTCACTCCGGCTCAGAGCCCCCTCCACCCCCACCCCCCCACGCACCTGAAGCAGCCACTTCCCCCCATGGCGTGTTCTGTCACTACCTTGTCTTCTTCATCGCCCACATCTGAAGTCAGGTCACTCTCTGATCTCCTCCCCTCTCCCCTCCCGCCCTGTCCACCGTCCACCACGTAAGCTCTATGAGGACAGGGGCCCAGTCTCCGGCCCCACTGCCTTCCTAGCATCTCACAAAGTGCAAGTGACGCAATCTCCCTAAAAACCCACTCACTGCCATCGAGTCGATCCCAACTCACAGGGACCCAGAGGACAGGGTAGAACTGCCCTGAGAGTAGTTGTGAGGCCGGAGAAAGCCTCATCTTTCTCCTGTGGGGCAACTGGTACTTTCAAACCCCAGACCTTGCAGTTAGCAGCCCAAAGCGTATCTCCCTGCTCCACCAAGGCTCCTTCGTGCACACAGTAGGAGCGCAGCAACCCCCGTTAAGGAGAGCACAAAGGGCCGGGCCGGAGGCTGCCTGGCTCTGCACTGGACAGGGATGGTCTGGTCCGGGGGCCGGCACACTTTTGACACGGAATAGCAATCCTGTCCCTCACAACCAGTCGGAAATTACTTGAGAGCCACACGTGTTTTTCTTTAACACCTATGTTTTTACCAACAAATGAAATCGCCCATCATCTGAACAGTATCTTTTCAATGAAACTAGGACAACACTGTTTCCACGTTTGTTCAGAGCCCTGATCTAGAGCCCGGGTTCCCAGAGTGGGTGACACTGCCCCCTGGGGGGAAGTGCTGGAACAACCGTGGGGGGGAGGGGTGCGTTACCCCCAAAAGCTGAACACCCACACTTCTGGAAGGTGGTCGAGAGACCAGAGCTTGATTCCCAGCCCAAGAAGTGACATGTACTTGTGAAATGAGGCCAATGAGACCCCAAGGGTCACAACCGCCCAATCGGTTGTCGGCACGGCACAAGGTTTCATTCCATTGTGCCAAGGGTGGGGGTGTGGGAGTGGAGGTCAGCTCAGGACAGCGGGGCAGGGGTGACTCCATCTAAGCAGGGCAAGGTGGGCAGGGGCAGCTCAGCCACTGTCTGCAGGCCGCCCCCGGGGGCCACTGGCCCAGCTGAACGCAGGGGTCACAACCCACTGCTGTGGAGTCAATTCTAACCCAGAGCAAGCTTCCAGGGCCGAGGAGGGCTTCCCAGGGGGTTTCCACGGCTGCACATCTTTATGGGAAAGGTCAGCCACACCTTTCTCCCGAGGAGCAGGGTGGATTCAACCACTGACTTCCTGGTGAGCAGCTGCCTGCATACCCTCTGCACCATGGGGGACCCACGCCTTCTAAGACACTCACATTAAAACACCCCAAACTCACTGCCAAGTTGATTCCAACTCACAGTGAGCCCACAGGACAGGGCAGAGCTGCCCCTGTGGGTTTCCAAGACTATAACTCTTTACAGGAGTAGAAAGCCCAGACTTTCTCCCAAGAAGTGGCCGGTGGGTTCGAATTGCTGACCTTAGAGTTAGCCACGCAACACGTAACCACTACGCCACCCAGAGCTGCTTTCAGGCCTGTGAAAATCCAGGCTGATCAAAGTCACCCCTCCACTCGCTCCAAAGTATTCGGAAGGGCCGTGTGTGCACGTGTGCACATTTCCTCCTGGGGGGACACAGCATGCAGCTTCCTTTGGTCACGCAATGACGGCTGCATGTAGAGGCCAAGGTGGTGGAACAGCACGGACTGCACATTCATAATCTGGAGCCCTTGCAGGGCAAGGGGGTGCCCACCAGCATGGGTCTCACCCAGCATGGGTCAACTGGAAAGGTGGCCCAGCAAAGAAGAGCTTAGAAGAGAGTGCCTGGGCGTGGCCACCTGAAGCCCCTAAGGCAGGAAGGTGGGAATGTGGGTCCAAATAAGAAAAGCTAAGTCCAAGGGCACGTGGAAGGAGCCCTGGTGGCATCGTGGCTCGGAGCTGGGTTGCTTTGCTAACCACAAGGTCAGCAGTTCGAAACCACCCGCTGCTCCAAGGGAGAATGATGAGGCTTCCTACAGTTCTCCCCCGACTCCGCTCAGAGTGCGTGTTATCTTGAGATAATTGGAATCACTCATGCTTCTTCCTTTCCCTGTTCTACACCCTGGATGTCCTGAGTAGGAATCAAAAACATCGGGGAGGGAGGGGGAAAAACGAGGAGCTGATTCCAAGGGCTCAAGCAGAAAGCAAATATTCTGACAATGATGATGGCAACAGATGTACAAATGTGCTTGACGCAATGGATGGATGTCTGGATTGTGATAAGCATTGTACGAGCCCCCAATAAAATGATTTTTTTTAATGATAAAAATGATTTTAAAAACATAAACACTGATTTTCATACATTTCATACATTTTCGTTTCATCTTGTGTTTTAGAGTCAGGTCAGCTGGGACAGAACACAGCCAGGAAACCGAGCTGAGAAGTGGGGAGGGGGCAGTGAGGCTACCCCATCTCCAGCACCTGTGGGCAGCAGAGATGGGCCAGGGCAGGACACCAGATTCTCCTACAAGCTGCTCAGCCTTTCTACTCTGTAACCTTGGGCCCCTTGCTTCCCCTCTCTGCAAATCCAGAGGCCCGGCTGCCCCCAGGTGCCGGGATCTGTGGGCCCCAGGCAGGAGGCTGGGCTCTAGCTCAGGGCTCAGACTCAATGGTTACATCCGAGGAAGCCTGTCTAGCAGGGTCACTTCCCCCTGGGAGAAAAAAACACCAGGGAAGTGTCTGCAAACGGGAAGTGAGGGATGCGAACTCCGAGGCTGCAGATGAACCAACCTGGTTGGTCCCCTCCAACAAGACCCGGTTCCTCTGCTGCCTGAAGTGGCCTCATTTCGACCGCAGTGAGAATGTGCCTCACCAAACCCCGGCCCCGCGCAGTCTCTCCCAGAAGCCAGTGGGCCACGGCAGGCTTCCAGCTGTGCCACCCTCCCCACTCTCCTGTGCCAAACCAGCCCACCATCCCGAGCAGGGCCTCAGTGTGGCTTCCGGTCTCTGGCCTGCAGCCCCCAGAAGGGTCTGAGCACCCTGAGTCCCACCCAGGGTCTACCCCAGCACCCCGCGCAAGGTCGGCCGGCATGCATTGATGTCGGAATTGGTGAGTGAGTGAGTGAGTGAGTGAGTGAGTGAGTGAATGAATGTCTGGGGGCTGCATCCCCAGCAATTTTCTCAGGGCTCAAACCTCGCAGCGGCGCCCCAGCCCCCACCCCCACCCCACCCGAGGGCTGGACCCTGGCTCACCGTGGCCAGGGCCGGAGAAGTGGTTGTAATACTGAGACACGTAGGTCATGATGCTGAGGCAGTCTGGGACGCTCATGGAGACCATGTCAGTGGGGTCCAGGAGGGCGGGGATCCCCAGCTCCCTCTCCGCCACCTCAAAGGCCTGGAGGGAGGAGGGGGGAAGAGGCGGTATGAGTGGGCGACTGCCCAGCCGAAGACCACCCGGGGCCAGGGGTAGGGCGGCTATGGCTCCCTCAATGCCAATGAGGAATACATGGTGGCCTGGGAAGAGACAGCCTGGTGCTCAAGGTGTGGGGAGGGGGCAACAGTGACTCTGTGGGGTGCAGGCAGGGCAGCTCCTAGGGGTACTGGATCCCAGAGCCCCTGCCTTAGCTCCTGCCCTGCAAGACCCTACCCAAACACACACCACGCACGCACGCACCGCCGCCGCCACCCTCCACCCCCTCGGGGCTTCAAGGGACTCACCAAGCGGTTATTCTCAAAAACATTGTCCTTAGAGAGTGACTGGAAATCTCTGCGGAGGCAAGGAGAAGAGGGGGGTCAGTAAGAGGCCGGAGAGCAGGGCATGGGCCAGCGCTGGGGGACCCAAGACCCAGGAACAGGGGCTGGGGCTGCGCTGGGGGGGTCTGCAGTAGCCTGTGGGGGCGGGGAGGGGTCTGTGGGGGCAGAGGAGGAGACTAAGGTAACTGCCTCTGGGGCCTCCTGCTGGCCCCTGAGCTCCTGGTCCCTGGAGGTGTGCAAGCTCAGGGGCGGGGCTCAAACTTAAACAGCCCTTAGTCTGGAAGGGTCTAGAGCCCTGGACTCTGGGTCAGCAGCCAGCCCTGAACTGTGCCCCTGGACTCATCCGTCCCCATGATAAGAGAGCAGCATCCAGCTGTCCCCGAGGCAGGCACTGCCTGGCACTGGCTTCTTCTCGCACAATCGTCACTGTCAGGGCAGCTCGACAGGCTAGTATCCTCCCCAAGGGGCAGGTGAAGCCACTGAGGGAAGCCAGCTGGCCCTTCCACGGAGGACACTGCCGGAGGAGGTGCATCAATGCCCGCCCAGGAGCGCCTGACCCGAGATGAGTAAGAGACTGCTTTCCATGGGCCGGCCGGCCCAGAAAAGAAGAACAAGTTTGAACCAGCCTGGGAATCAGACATCGTCCCGAGCTGCTGGCACTGAGCAGTTGCCCCCACCCCCACCCCACTCCCGTGACATCTTCCCGTGGGGGGAGCAGGAAGGGGCTCCTGGTTTCTAAGCCGAGACAGGTGAGAGGCAGCGGGGCTGAGAAACAGGGGCCCCTGGGGACGACACGGCTGTTACCTTCATTTGGGCCCCCTCCTGCCTCCCAGCAGCCTCCAAGCAGCCTTGCCTTTTAGGGCTAAAATGACAGCACAGGACGGAAGGCCCCGAACAGGGCCAGCCAGTTCTTCAGGGTCGGAGTGAGGCCCAGGCTGGTGTGACCCGGAGCCTCCTTTCCCATCTACATACTAGAAAGGCACGGGCGATCCCACCCCACCCCACCTGGGCTGGTGGTGAGGACAGAGTTTGGCCTCACAGACAGGAACAGGAGCAGGGGACCCTTTACCTCCCACAACCGTGGCCCAGACAAAGACAGCCTTGGGAGCCCAGAGGGAGTCCGGCACCTCAAGGTTGAGGTTGGGGGGGGTCTGGGAGCCAGAAGAGGCCTCTGTGTGAGGGTCAGCCCCCTCTTTGCCACACCTAGCCCAGTCCCTTCCTTCCCCACAGCTGCTCCCAAATCCCCCACCATACGGCCTGGCCAACCGGAGCTTGGCCTTGGCTCTTAGCAACTGACTCCAGACACCCCACTTCCCCAACACCCCCAGCTGGCTTTCTGTTTTACTCTCAGCCCCGCCTCTTCCCTCTGTCCCCCACACTGTCCTGGGGAAGGAGGTGCTGTGCAGAGGCCTCAGGGGAGGCCTCCGGGGCCCAGGGGACGAGGTTGAAGGTGCCGCTACACCACTGCCTCACAGTGCCACCTTCCCTAAGGGGCTCCACCAGTAGGGCCCTGCTCCTCATCAGGGAGGTGGGAGTGAGGAGGAGGGTGGGAACACGCCAGCCCAGCCCTCGACCATGCCAGTTCCGAGCACAAATGAGACAGATCCACCCGCCTCCCCAGCACTTCTTGCTCCAGCCAAGGGCTCAGTTAACACTGCGTTGCTAACTGCATGGTCACAGGTTCAAGGCCAGCGGCGGCTCTGGGTGAGCAAGGTTTGGTGCCCCATACCTGCACAGTTCTTGGTACCAGTGAACTCCAACCAAACCCACTGCCGTCAAGACGGTTCCGACCCACACCAGCCCTGCGCACAACAGAACAAAACACCGCTGGTCCTGCACCAACGAGCCCACTCTTTCAGCCATGGTGTCAATCATCTCGTGGAGGGGCTGCCTCTCTCTGCAGCAGCGGTTCTCAACCTGTGGGTCGTGACCCCTTTGGGGGTCGAACGACCCTTTCACAGGGGCCACCCGATTCGTCACAGTAGCAAAATGACAGTGATGAAGTAGCAATGAAAATAATGTTATGGTTGGGGGGTCCCCACCACATGAGGAGCTGTATGAAAGGGTCGCGGCATGAGGAAGGTGGAGAACCACTGCCTCTTCCAGAGTTTCTCAGTCTGTAAATCTTTACAGCAGCGGACCGCCTCATCTTTCTCCTGCGGAGCGGCTAGTGGGTTTGAACCGCCAACCATGCAATTAGCATCCCAGTTTACCCCCGTAGTGCCACCGGGGTACCCTTGGGCACTCCATAAATGCTTGCGGAATGAATAAATGTTGAAAGCCACTGGTTTCCCTACAATTCTTCTTTACTAACTCCAATTATTTACCAAGAATTTCCAAAGTGGGGGTGCGGGGTGTTCCCTTTGGCTCTGGGGGAGATGAAGGGCGCCCAGACATCCCCTTATGGGAGCTGAAAGAGCAGAGTCCTGGGTGGCCACACGGTTAACATACCTGCTCAGCTGCTCCCTCAGAAGAAAGGCCTGGTAGCCTGTTCCTCTAGATCAGCCACTCAATACCTTACGGACAGTTCTGCCCTGACACCCTTGGGGGGCTCAAGGGTGCTAACTGATGCCACGGCAGCTGGCACTGGGCAAGATCATGCACAGGAAAACCTGGAAGAGGGGGAGGCGTGGGCCAGCCCCTCACCCCCACAGTGGGGCGCTCCCCAACAGAGGCCTGGGGTAACAGTGGGTTCGAGTGGCAGGCCCACACTCTACTCCAGATGGTTTGTGCCCTCTCTCTCTGCTCCCCAGGCTCTCGCTGGCAGGCAGGGCCTCTCCTGCCTGTCCATAAGGCCTTCGCTGGGCCTCGGTTTCTCTCAGCACAATGAGCTGGCTGCCCAGCCCCGAGTCTGGCTCTCTTCCACGTGCCAGGACCACCCTCTGGCCACGTTGCTCCTGGACTTAAGCCCACAAGCCTCCCAAGGAATCTGGCCCAGCTACCCCCCTGACCCTCTGTGCCAGGCACAGTAATGGGGTCCCTCCAGTGACACCGCCACACCACTGCCCAGGTGGCCCCTCCCTCCAGGACCCCTTGGATTCCCTGGCCACTGCTGCGGGCCTGCAGCTGCAGGGCTCCCCAGGAGCCTTCCCCGCCTGGGCTTCTGTCCACACGGACTTGCTTCCCAGGGGTGGGGCCGGGAAGACTGTGTGGGTGCTGTCTGTGTTCCACTGGCTCAGCACCCAGCGGGGTGTAGTAACACTATAAAGAGTTGTGGAGTAGATGAAGCTTCAGAAGTCCCCCCCACCCCCTCCCTAACAGCAACGGACTGAACTGAGGGCTCATAGAACTCCCAGCATCCTCTCCCCTCTGTGAGGTGGGTTTTATGATCACCAACCCCCACCTTCGCAGAGGAGGAAACGGATGTCTGGAGGGACCCATGGATTTACCAAGGTCACACGCCTGAGATGGGCAATGGCTGGACATCAACCAGGTGATGCCAACAGGCTCAGGTACATGCAAGGGCTCACCTTGACACCCAAGACCCTACACACGTTGGCCCCTGCCTCACTGTCTGCCCACAGTCAAACCAAAGATCCCTTAAGCCCTCCACTTCAATTCAACCCACTGACCCTATCCGGGCACCCTTCACCCCCATCTTTCGGGGCCTAACTGCCCCATGCCCTCCTCACCTCCACCTACCCCACTAGACTGAAGACTCCTCCTCACTTAGTTCGATTCTGTACTTGCACCAAAAGCCCTCTCTTTGAGGTCCGACACTGCCACCCACAACCACCCACAGCACCTGTAGAGCAAGCAGCAGGATCCACAAGTGCAGCAGCGCCACCCAATCGTTGAGGTAACCCGGCCCTCAGGGGTTACAGGGAGGGCAGGCACGGGTGGAGCCCTGAGCCCTGGCAGGCCCAGGGGGCCCTGGGAAAGGCACTCCTGGCATGGGGTTGTTGGTTTGGGAGACAGAGGCCCAGGACGCTTGCCCCAGTTTGTGGTGGTCCGAATGGCAGGTACTGGACACATATTCAGTCTTATAAACAGATGAAGGAGAGGATGGGTGTCCCGAGACCAATGTCCCAGGTCCCCTGCCTGAACCCTGAGGAGAAAGGGGCTGATGTCCAGCCTGGCGCAGCTGACTGGGGCCTGCTATAAGGCCCTCCGCCCCATTGCTCTTTCTGGTCCCATCAGGCTCCTGAGAAGGGTTGGGGACACCCACCAGGGGAGGGAGGCAGAGAGGGATCTCCGGAAAACTGCGTCCCTGTGCAAACATCTGACCACCACCTTCTAGACACCTTGGCTCTAGCTAGCATCGATTCAAATGCACAAAGCAACTTTGTTAATCTTTAACCTAGCACACCCCACACTCCGTTACTGATTGCCAGACTGATTCCCACTCCTGGCCCTCCTACAGGACCAAGCAGAACTGCCCCCTGCGGGTCTCCAGGTCTGCTTCCTCCTTCTCCCGCCGCCCACCTTGCTCCTGGCAGGGGAGTGCCCTAACCACTGTGCCACCAGGGCCCAGGAAACACAGGACTGCAGCCCACGAAATCCACAGCTGCCAGCCCGGCTGCCGTCCTGATGACAACTGGTCTATGCGGGGCTTGGAGTCATTGTTCTCCATGTCCTAGCTGGCGAGATGACACGGTGACCCACTGCCACGGACTCGCACCCCACAGGGTGGAGGGGCGACAGGACCGCC